TGGAGATTGATCACTGTGCTTAAGCAAGGGTCTTAATCTCTTAATCACAGGACAGTAGTATTTATGAATTCTCACAAACACAGGGTATCTGAATTCATTCAATTCCTTTTTATTTATATTTATGTACTTATTTAATCAGGTTATCACAGGTAAGTGACTAGAGGGAGCAATGCATTGATACTATCCAGATACTAAATAACAAAACTTCTCATACTTCCTGAAGAATTAAAGTTTAAATCAAAATTATGACATTTCTGACAACTAAAATTAAAACATTTAAACAAAGAAACAGTGATAAATAAAATTTTCAGAGTAATTAACCAAAAACCTGCTAGAATGACTGTCTAGAGCAATCATGATAAGCTGGTTAAATATTAAAGCTTTGCTGCCAAACAACACAAGATTTGCTTTCCAACTAGCAGTTACTACAGTAAAGCTTTCAGCTGTTTAGCTTAAGGAGCTACCGAGACCTCCACAACAGCCCCCAAAACTCAAAAGCTATCACCACGTTTAAATGGTTCAGCTACAGGTCTGAGGTATTGTTTTCAATAAAATGAATTAACTGTCACATGAGACATGACAGTAACATGCCAGACAAATAATGGGATGTGCCTTTTGTTCTTCAAGAGAATTCTAAAGGTTAATGTGTCTCTAACAAAGGTAAATTTTGTTATTTTTATCTTTTTAAGATATCTTCTAAAAAAATGGCTTCCTATTATATTAAAGATGGACACAGCCTCAAGCATTCTTATCACAGCAGACTAAAGTCAAGCTAAACACTCAATTCCTATTATAGCATTCAATTGAATCAAAAATGCTTTTTCAGTAAAGCTGCTATCTCAACAGAGAAACCGTCTTCAACAACATAATGAACTATCTAACTAAATATTTTTAAGTTAAAATGTACAATAATATACCTATCTAAACTGGGTAGTCATAGCAGGCAACATTCGACTGTATCTAGTACTGGAACTTAACAACTTCAATTACATATACTATCAGCTTTCCCTGATGAGGACAAACGGTAGGGTAGAATGTAGACAGATTTCATAACCAGGACTTCTAGGCTTCCTCCTCACTCAATATCCACGTAACATTGCCAACAAAAATCTGATTATTACAAACCGGTGTAACTTATCTTTTTATTATCTCCATTCCACTGACAGAAAATCTCCTAGAAAACAGTTAATAATTTGTCCAAATGCACATCAGTGTTCGAACTGGAATCTAGGATGATTCCAGCTTTACTGTCAGTCACTACTCTTTCACATGCTATGGTTTCCCTAAGGTTCGCATTTATGTGTGCACTTCAAAGCATGATATATGCAAGCAGACACAAAATACACGTAATATAGGTTATCAGTGATTTTAACATCAAAGATGGCATTTTAAAAGATGAAAGCCTTGATTAAATGCTACATCAAAACAGTATCATTAGCAGTACTTTATAAATTGTTTCTTTTAATACAGGTACTACTTCTAATCAACAAGCACACACAACCATTATGCTGCAACAGAAAACACCGCTGGAATGTCGTGATTATGTAATGAAGTGAATAAATAACTTACACACTGACCATGTAGAAGAAATTATAAGTAAACGGAATGTGTATTAATTACCAAAAGTGTAAGTTAGCAAGGCTGTCAGGAATATAGGCTTTGCTAAGTATATCAGAACATCTCAGAAGCAACAACCTATATAATAAAAAGCCTAACACAATGCTAGCTCATTGGTTTGAAAAACTCAGATAGACAACACTACTCATACACTGTAGCAAAGCTTTCAGAAACTCTTAGCAACGCAATGTTTAGATGATGTCCATTCTTTTCAAAATTTCTAAATTAGTAGCATTCATATAATGACATTATTTCTCAAACTTTTTCCTTCAGTGCAGGGGAGACACAGAGAGGACAGCACGTCTGTGTACAGACAGTACAAATGCCACCACCTTACCTGCAGACTGAGCACTGTAGAGGGAAGGATCAACTAGAGGAATATTTTGAGGAGCAGGCTGAATGGTGTTACTTGTCACTGCTGCAAATCAACACAAAAAATTGGACTTGGGTTATTTTTATTTATAGACTTTAAAAGTAAGCAGACAAAATAAGAAAATAGAACAGGAAAGCCTAATGACTCAGTGATTTTTAAATGAAGCAGCTGATAGCTTCCCAATTCTGAAAGTTTGCAATAAGCAATTTTAAAACCTTCACTTCAGACTATGAATGTTTTATAAAATAATATGGAAGAATTTACAGGCTGTCATTTATTTTATCAGTACAGTACTTCACAGAAATTTAATTTCAAGCATTAAAAAACCCAAGAAAATACAGTCCAAAAGACACTGGTTATGCTACAGTATTGAGGAAAACCTGCTAAAGAAGAGTAGGAGTAAACTTTTACATGTGAAGTCTAAATTCTGGCTTTTAATATCAGAGAGTCTCCATTACTGTATTTTTAAAGCCCCATGCCTGCCATCTCACAATTGCAAACTATCTTCTTCCTAATTCCTTCGAAAACAATTGGTAAGAATAAAAAAGCTAGCTAGATTTAAAAGGACAGTGGTGATACTAGAAGCAGCAGCAGCACTTTATGCTGTGAAGCATTCTTGTATGTGTGTTCACACTTCAGACACTCTTATTTGCATTAAGCCAAAACTATATTTTTGCAGTTTGTCCAGAACATACCAGATTAACATAAAGTTATGTCTACATCATCTGTTTTGTAGGAAGATGGTATAATTACTTATCTAAATGATCTGTTATTTCATGGAATGATTTATGGTGATAAAACTATGTAATGCAAAGAATTCATGTATTCCATCAAGGTACATATTCCACAATTTTTGGATCTGGTAAAACCAGAGAGCTAAACACTTATTCAGGCTGAATGTAAAAACACTCTCCCCCTCCCAGAGCCAAAAAAACCCACCTATCTGTAGGATTTCCCTTTGACAAAGCTGGAAAAAAGAGCACCCTGAACTTTTCATAGAGTGATGCTTTTTTAAAATAAGAAAGTAAAAGGAGGAGCTGTGTGACAAAAACATCTGAACAATCAAATGATCATCAGAATTCAAGAGCTTTTAATTTTTTAGTCTTATTAAACATCATTATAAAAAGGCAACATCAGGTGAAAAAGTTGTATTTACAAATCATGTAATACAACTTCTTTTTTTTTTTTTTTTTAATAATAGCAACTGTTGGAAGAACTCTGGGTTTTTAAGAACTTGGTTTTGGTCCAAAAATGACAAAGCATAAGAAGAAGGCTGTCGGACCCAATATGTTTAGCAGTAGGGACAAGATTTCCATTAATAATACTGTTTGAGGTCAATAACATGAAAGTACTTGCATGAGAAAAGGATCATAAACAAAATAGAAGAAAAGTATGAATGGCACATCAGGCATGACTGTTATAGTGCTGCTGTAACAGTTTCAACACTATGATGGATATGTTCCCACATAAAGAACAGAGGTCAATCTGCACAGGGAAAGCTAAATATGAAATGAAATAATAAAATTTCACCTATCAAGAGAAGGATTCAAATGTTGCTATAGAGTATAGATGTTGCAATGCATGATTCTAGAGAAGAAAAAAAAACATTCTGTCTGTAGGAATAGTTACGCTTTCAGTCCATATATCTCTTCTGGAAAAGTGATCCAAAATATGAACTACATATTTTTTATGTTTTTATAGTTTTAAAAATATTTCTGATAGCATTTTAATGATGTTAATTTATGAAGTTGCTTCTGCCACAGAATACCTACATTATTTTACTTTACATGTAATGGAAAGAAGGCTAGAATTTGCCTCTCAATAAAGGCATGAGTTTTTCAGGTGTGATTCAGACATACCTGTGTTATGCGGTACTTCAGCTGGAGTGTTGGCTGGTGCATGGGCACCTGGTGGTATATGTATGCCAGTATAATTACTAGTTGGTATGTTGTTAGCTTCATACGTAGATGATGATGTTGGTTGAGTTGTTCCACTATGGAGAGAAGATGACCCTGCTTCTTCCCTTTCAGCATCTGCTAAGATGACACAGAACAGGAATTACTGCAACTCTTCTCTACAAACGCTTGAGAATTTAGGCTTTCTTTTAAAATCTCCTTTCAAATGTGTGTTAGTAGAAAAATTGCCACTAAAGTGGCAATAAAACATTTGTCAACTCAAACCACCTACGGCTGATCTGACAAAGTGAAAAGCAACGTAACATAGGACAAAGATCTAGAAACTCACATACTTTCAAAGATCTCTTCTATTTAAATTGAAGGACCATCTCTTTACCGGTCTGACTATAAGCAATTTGTCTCATTAGTACAATCCTTTCTAGTTTCATGTACTTCATCCACAGTAGTTGAACAAGATACCACAAATATGCAGTAATCTGTATTTTAATAAATACATGAACCAGAATATAGAAAACTGTATTTGCCTTACAAATTCTGTAAAAGAAAAGCAGTGCCAATCCTTCCACCCAATATAAATTAAAAAAACCTACAAATAAATTAAAAAAAAGGGGGAACTTTGGGAAGTAATACCAAACAAGAAAATGAAGTGTAGCTTAGCCAAGCCATAACTGTATCTAGAACAGTTAGAGTACATAATGCACTATAAGAATAATGATGTTCAATATATTTCATAGCATGTACAAAGAACATATACGTTATTTTTCAATCTAGTCAACGTTCTTAAGGTTCTGGTCTAGTTTATTCAATGTTGCTTTGAAGGCTAATGGTCCAATTTTATTATGCTAATGACACAGTTAATTTATAATATAGTTGCCTTCTGCTCCTTAATTTGAATTCAGTTCATTTTAAAAAAGCTGATTTTCTTTTACTGTGTATGTGCTCGTCTGTATTAATAATGTCAGGCGGAACAAGCACAGTTTTGGGAAAGGCTTTGATAAAAAACAGTTCTTGAAAGGGACCAAAACAAATATGGGAGCACAAAACTTGTATGTGTCCAGAGTTGGCAAAAGACACGTTTTATCTTTATGAAATCCATACTGATCTTCAACTATACAGGATTATGTGTTATGCAAACATCTCTACTGTTTGATAATTAAACAGTCTACTATTACAAATACCAGATTTTTTTTCCCATGTAAGGTCCTCTTCCTCTCAGAAAAAGTTCAGGTATTACCTTTACTAAAAATAACTAAACACCTTCTAATTCACAATACTATTTACTACAATAAAAGGCTCTAATGCGGAGTAAAATCAGTAGTATTGTCATTAGGACATTTTTACTGGATTTTAATAAATACTCAGAGAATATATTTTTGTCTTATATTGCAAAGTTGCTGTAGTTTAATTTCATTCAGAACATCCAAATACTAATAAACAAAATCACAAATCCCTCAAATTCACAGTCTAATAATAAGAATCTTTATTTAAAGTCATTAAAAAGCAAAGAAACCTAGAAGCAAAGTTCTGTCAGGAGCGTCAAGCATTGCTAGCAAAATGTAATATAAAAAGACAGAACATGCTAAAATTTTTGTACGTTACTCTTGAGAAAATTACTTTCACTTGCTGCAACCAGTAATTCAGGCTGTGGTTTTATGAAGCTATTTGTGACAAATGCAAACAAACAGTTGTTTCCAAGATCTCTGCAAGGCAAAGGATATCTCATGGTACCAGTTTTTCCTTTGCTGTATTTCTTGCTAGGAACTCATATTGCAATATCACGTGGCTAACATGCATGGAAATAAAATTAAATGTGTTAAAACTGGCAAAAAAAGGAGGTGAGATTCAAAAGTAAGCAACGAATATGCTACCTTTTAAATAATAATGTAATGACAGGAATAAGCCACTGGTTGAATGCTGTATTTATCAGTGTTTTTGGTGTTAACTAAAAAAATTATTTTAAAACTGTTGCAGAAAATAAAATTTAGTTTAACAAAATCCCAGAGACTGTACATAAGAGTAATGAAATAGTTACGCACAACACTCATCACGCTGCCTGAAAATAAGGCTGCTCAAGTTTACTTGTAACCCTGTTATCAATGTTTTATAGCTTGGTCAAATTGTAGCCATAAAGTTGGATTTTCTATGTTGGGTGTCTGCCTGAAGCTAGTAATTTGGGAAAGCTGTTGTAAAAATTACTAAGCCACTTTTGAGAACGAGGGTGTGGGAGAAAACTTGCTTTCACTGTACTTAGTATTTCATTTAAGAGAAACTACCTGTAAGTTCTTGCCCAAACTTAAACCATTAATACATTTATTCATTTTTTCTGTCCACTCCCCCTTTCTGTTGCTCTTACCTGGCTATTCAGTTCCTTTCTGATTTCTCTTTCTCTGCACCAGGACTTCACATCCCATATCTACAACCCCATGCCCCATAATTGTGTCTGTCCTGCACCACCTCCCAATCCTCTCTCCAAGACATTCTCTGTTTCAGCTTCAAACTTCCTTGCAGTTCATGGTCTCTACTCACTCCTATAAAAGTACAATGTTGTAGGCGACACTGCCCATGAGAGATATGAACCCAAATGGCTAAAGTCTGGCAATGTTATTAACAAAAAAAGCAACAAAAACAAGCATGCTAAAAGTGCTGACCACCCTTAATAACAGTGCCTATACGAGGCAAATTCACAAAAGGGTGATATATTTTTTAATCAGGCATATGTATCAAGAGATCAAGCTCAACTGTTTGATTTACTCATTATGTGATTGGCAAATGTTAAACTGTATTAAACATAAAAGTAGCTTTGTTTAAATTCTCTTCGGTGTTTGAAGTGCCCACATGTCATCAAAGCATTGCAGCTACTCTTTCTGCAAAGTAAACATTTAAAATACTCTTTATCAAAGACTAAAATGGTTCTAATACTTTGAGATACGCGCTTGCAAGTATTCGTGAACAGTTTTAAATATTTAGTATTAAATACAAAGATTTCAGGCTGCTGGAAAAGAACATTTTGGTCAACAAACTGTTTTTAAGTTCTGTGGTTAGAACATCAACAACATTATTGAAAAACAAATCTTTTCCAGGGAACGGGAATGAACACTAGGAAAATCAGAAAATTAATTTCTCAGAAAACAGCAATAACCCCCCCCAACATCAAGAAATGGACTAAAAAATCCATGAACTCTTCACACACTGTTCTTTCGACTAGCTGGGACTATACAGGTTTCTTGGAATTCTGCAATATATATGTAAACTACATATTATATACTGCAATGAAAGTGGTGACATTTAATGTATTTGACTACAGCCATACTGTGACCATTTAGGAACTTTTTCCTATTTGAAATCACATTTTTAGTTTTTTTCCACTAGTATAAAATCTTGTTGGATGACCTAGGACTACTGCTAAGTGACCTTTAAGTGTACTCTAGGACTCATATTCCAATTGCATTAATAAACCAAGCATGTAATTTTAAGGTTTCCATGGTGGCATCCTGACAAAAGCATCCATAAATCCAACAGCAGAACTGCATAAAGCATGCCTATGTTACTGTAAAAACACCTCCAAGAGTTACAGTATGGTTTTCAAGAATCACAAAGAAAATAACACTTCGGAAAAAAATGGTAATTTGTCAAGCTACAGAGACCTAGTTTCACTCTGTTTAAACAGACTTTTTCCACTTGCAAGGGGAGGAAGAAAATGAGCAAGCAGAAAGGAATGGGGAAGGTCCAGTCATACATTCAAACAATGCTGCTTTTCTTCTTATGATGCACAAAGCAAGAATTGAGACTTTTTTTTTACCAATTCTTCTAATAAAAATTAATTTGCATAAAATTTTTGTCTTGATTGTGTAAAGCATTATAGACACCTACACTATTGGAGGTAATTTCCAAAAATAAATGTCAAAAAGTATTTTTCATTTCATTGCTCAGAAAATAAATGGGTGTGAGAAATTCTCTTACTACATGAAATACAATTCAATAAATAATTTCAATTACACATATTGCAAGCTCCCTATGAATAAGAATGTTAAAATTCTGGCTCACTCAGCATTAGTATCCCTTTTAACTTGCATGTAGACACAACTCGTTAACAAAAGCAAGTCTCCACCTATTCACACTACCGCTTGTAATGACCTGCAATGAATAGTAAGGATTTGAGTAAATTTTGTATGCTACTTTCCCTCCTACAACAGATTCTTTTGCAGCCTTGAACAAGTCAGTTACCTTTGCCTCCACATTAATAAAATGAAGAAAGAGTCTATTTGTTGCTGCTGAGGAACAATTATTGTTTCTACACAAGCCGCATACACAGACTCTTAGCAAAAGGTCTGTAATCTTTGCTTAGTAATTCTGGTTTTACAATTGTTCAGAATTCATAATTAATTTCACATAATCAGGTGAGCTTTGTAAACATTACCACACTATGATTCAGACCACTAAAGAGCACTCATTTAAAGCTAGAAATATTTAATTGGGCTATTCATTACACTCACTGTAACAAAAGCTTTTTCCCACGTTGCCTTCTCCACTAAATTATCAAACTGGTGCAATTTGACTTACGAAGACGTGGAAATGTTTGCAGCTGGAGTTGCATCATAAGTCTCTCTTGCTACAGCTGCACCAGGAGTTAAGAAAACTGCCTTGAAAAAGATCGTATGTTGAAAAAGAAATTAAGTTTGCTAATGCTTCGCTTTAAATATAGCTGTACCTAGATTGGAGCATATTTCAGTGGGTAAGACAGTTACTCCAGTGTTTAGTTTTGTAGGGCGTCTTTAGGTAAGGAAAGCATAATAACAAGAATAAACAGGTAGCTCTGAAATCAAATTGTATCATACTCATTATTTATTCACAAATATTTGAATTTACTTATGTTGTAGTGTTTCTAGAGTATTAATAACCAAACAATATTTTATCACGAAACTGCAAAGAAACTATAATTAGCACTCAGGCTTTTAGATACTTTTGTTTACTTTTAACAAAATAAAGGCTAACAATAAAAAGGGGTAGATGTTTGGCACACATTCTCATTAAAAAAAATAGTGATGATTTATTTTATAATTTTTCTTTTTTTTTTTTTTTTCAACTGTAATGGTGCCCTCAAAATACAATTTATAAGAGAATTCACTGTGGAGAGCCACTTTTCACACTTTTTTGCCTAAAATTGAACCTCAGCAGCACTCTTACCTGGCCCTCTCCCCTTTCCACCCGTTGATTCTCTTTCCCATATACAATCAAATGATTTTTTTTAAGAATCATAAAAAGGCTGAAGGATCCCTTGCATGTTACCTGATCCAGTTCCTCATTCATAGCAGCACCAACAGAGATCATGCTGCTCTGGGCACAGAATGGCTGAGGTTGGAAGGGACCTCTTGAGATTATCTAGTCCAATTATCTGTTCAAGCAGGTTCAGCTACAGCCAATTGCCCAGGACTGCGTCCAGCTGGGTTTTGAATATTTCCAAGGATGGAGATTCCATAACCTCTCTTGGACTCTCTTTTCAATTTCTGACCACATTCATGGTGAGTATCTTTTTCCTAATAATTAATCCACATTTTCCGTGTTGCAACCTGTGTCCATTGCCTTTGTCCTATCACTATGCATTTCCAAGCAGATTCTGGCTTAGATCTTCTCTGCACTCTCCCATTAGGTACAGTTTAAAACAGCAGTAAGAACTCTCTTTAGGCCTACTTAACTTCACCTTGTATGCCATATGCTCCAGTTCCCATTTGGAATACAACAGAAAACTCTCATACTTTAAGCAACATACTACTTTCTAACAAACATGGGCTTGGAAGGAGCGAGTAAGACTGCCTGTCTTCTACTTCCTTATACTCTGCCCAATGTCTGACAAAGGTGGCATGCTAGACAGCTTTTATTCATGCTACTTTGTCATTTTCTATCTTCTGCTGTACATTTGTTTTCTGCTAAAGAATCAGCTAGCGGCTGCCAAGTGGAATAGGATGGTATACCTTACTGTAAGGGCCATCAGTTTAATCTTTCTATAAACAGTAGGTCATGCCCATGTTCCTCTTTCTTCACAGATGAACAGGAAGAAAGCTTCAAAATATGAGACTGCATGATGAAAAGATTGAGAACCAGAAGAGAAGCCAGTTTTCTGATGTTTTGATATGCTTAAAATAAAAACAACGTGCAGAAAATTACAAGCCTATTCATAACATATTTGAAATTACAGGTTCAGACTTCAAAATTTCCACTGAACAGACCCCAAACATAAATGAATGGAAACAAACAAATAATTACGTGTGTGTGTGTATGTGTGTGTGCACACATGTGCAAATATATGGATCATATGTATTAACACATAAGATCACAAAACTTTATGTAGCAAGGACGGCTTTATGTAGCCAGTCCCGTCCAAGGACGGGATGCCATCCAGAGGGACCTGGACAGGTTGGAGAGGTGGGCCTGTGTGAACCTCATGAGGTTCAACAAGGCCAAGCGCAAGGTCCTACACCTGGGTCGGGGTAGTCCCCGGTATCAATACAGGCTGGGGCATGAAAGGATCGAGAGCAGCCCTGCTGAGAGGGCCCTCAGCACAAGAAGGACATGGAACTTTTGGAGCGGGTCCAAAGGAGGGCTACAAAAATGATCCGAGGGCTGGAGCACCTCTCCTATGAGGACAGGCTGAGAGAGTTGGGCTTGTTCAGCCTGGAGAAGAGAAGGCTGCGGGGAGACCTGATTGCAGCCTTTCAGTACTTAAAGGGAGCCTATAGGAAAGATGGGGACAATCTTTTTAGTAGAGACAGCAGTGACAGGACGAGGGGTAATGGTTTTAAACTAAAACAGGGTAGGTTTAGGTTAGATATAAGGAAGAAATTCTTTACAATGAGGGTTGTGAAACACTGGAACGGGTTGCCCAGAGAGGTAGTGGAGGCCCCATCCCTGGAAACATTCAAGACCAGGTTGGACAGGGCTCTGAGCAACCTGATCTAGTTAGTGGTGTCCCTGCTCGCTGTGGGGGGGTTGGACTAGATGACCTCTAGGGGTCCCTTCTGACCCAAAACTTTCTATGATTCTATGATTCTAGCTCTACAACTAAACTACCAAGTTAGATTTATCTCTTTTGTATTGTAGATTTGTTTATTGATTCTTCTTGGAAAAATTTGTTTCATTAAATTCAAGCTTAAGTTAAGAGATACACGAGCATCAGCTGAAGTGACATTTATTCAAGCCACAAAGTCTCATATACTAGCTCAGAGGAAAGTTTCAAATCATTTAATGATCTTAGTTGTTTCATTACGTGTGAAGGATTATCCATAGTGGTTACTGTCATTGTGCAGAATTAGTCTGATTTAATTTGCATAATGAAAATACCCGTTCCAAAGACATTCTATTTCCATAAGAGATTCACAATTAAAACTTGTATTTCAAGCTTTTGTACTGACTGGAGAGGAAAACGAAGAGACCCCTTATTAATGAAATCGATTGCTATCAAAAGCAACCGGTGATATACAAAAAGAATTAAACATTCATAAAGCATTAAGCATAGCAACCCAGTGAACAATAGAAAAGTAAACAGGTGAAAATATTTTGAAAGTTAATTTCACAATTACATGCCGTTTTGATTTTGATATATTTCACAAATGCATAATTTTTTGCATGTATTTCACTTTTATCAATAACTATAAAAGCGTGGTCAGTTTATACAAAGAACAGTAATACTACTATCTGCTTCAGCAGTTTAACATAAAAAGTTCTGTAAGTGATTTTATTCTTGTGTGTTATCTGTGAAGCCTCTGGAACTATACTTTAGAAATAGGTTGACATTATAAAGTTTAGAAATATGTCAGCTCTGTTGGGACTGTTTAGTTATTTTTAGTAAAAATACACACAATGTCATAAGAGAATGGAGCTGTCTTTCTCAGAATAGGTTAGGATGCGATCAGTGTGCTCTTGTAAGAGTCTGTTTAGCACATGTTCTGTTACTTCATGGAGAGGCTAGCTTGCATGCTCACAGTGGTGCTGTCTCTCTTAAAAAAACCTCTAAATTACAAGGTTTGGATACCCCTAACATTTATTACTAAAGAGCTCAGACTTATAAATAAGCAGCAGAATTTAGACAGGTCTGAATGCATTAAATAGAAGAAAGTAAAAGTTACAGTTTAGGAGGTTTTAAACAATTTGTTCTGATAAACATTCATTCTGGTAAGTGGGTGTCCTTGGAAATCAGCACTTTTTATCTGTTAAGGAGGCAACTTCAAGGAATCCTGTACTGGAAAGTCAGGTAGCCAGAAGAACACTGGGGGGTAACTAAAAACATGAGGAAAAGAGGGATGAGTGAGAAAGCAGCAGGAAAGCCAATCTAAAAAGAGTAGACCATAAACCTGTTTTTAAAAACCACATTATTATATGGTGAGGAAGGGGCTGTCTCACAATCAGGTGTTTGCTTTAAAGTTGAATTCACCTATGACCAATCCATTTTCAACTCCTATTTAACTTCCGAGAGAGGATGAACTAAGAAAGGGATCATAACTTTACAGAACAGATATAAAAGAAGGACTGTGGGTAGCCTTAAAGAGATGCATGGTTCTGGCCCAAAAGGTGACAATGCCTTCTTAGAGAGTAGCTGTATTCAAACTAATAATCTTCAGCACAGAGGAAAAAAAAAAATCATTAAATAAGTCAATCCAATAGTAAGGTCCAATAAAAATGACAGTAGGAGAAGCAGAGAAGAAAAAGCAGAAGGCGGCCTATCGTGAACGGAAACAGGGAAGCAGTGCCTCCTGTGGGGTACTGTGCGTACCACCATTTTGGTCTTGGCCCAGCCCTCTGCTCTTTTAAAAAGAAAAGGGAAACACATACCAAAGCTCTCTCCTTCCATTCCAATAGGCCCAGGCTGAGGAATCTCTCCGTTCTTCAAGCAGTTATGGATGTACGCTGCCTTCCACCTGGCATACTTCCTGTGCTGGGCGTTCTGGGGAAGGGAAATGGGCAGCCATTTTAACCAGTCACTTCTGTCAATTAATGCATTCAAAACAGAAATATAAGCAGGTTTTCCACCGTGAGAAGAGATTATAAAACGAAAGTGCGTTCTCTGCTATGATTTGACACTACTTTAAAGATAAACAACACGCGAAATTAATTGGTGAATTTAAAAAATATTAAAAAGAACAGCTCTAATAGGATCTCAGCATGGAAGGAAAATGTGGAGATCTTCAATTAGTGCAGCATGTCAGGAAAAGGAAACAAAGTATACCAGGACCATCTAGGTCCTAGAAAGCACTGTGTAGTAATTACTGATGTGAAATAACAGAGAAAACTTTCTATCTCCAGAAACGTAGATGATTATTTACTTTCGATTTAAATATCTGAAATTTAAAATACTACTCCTGGTGATCAATAATATAACATCTTTTCTAATTATATTATTTTACATCTCAAAAATATGTTTAAAATCATGACTACAGCAAGACTGCTGTAGCTGCAGATTAATGCACTGTGTGTGGGATCCATATATTTTGATTTAGTATCTTCATAACATAGCTAAAAATCAGATGAAGGATTTTAGTAATAACAATTGTAAACTACCTGCAAAGCAAGGTGATATGATAATAACAACTTTAAATAAACTGTTAACGACAGCTTTAATAGTTCAATTATTAATAAAAATATTCATACTTCTCAAAAAAATTACTATGTTGACAGTCAATACAATTATTTGCCAACTCTCATCTTCGGAAATGGTGTCAATACGAAGCAATAACAGTGGGAAGTGAATCTGCTGCTTGCCTTTCTGATTACATTTCCATTTCTACAGTGACAGTTTGAAACTGAAAAAATGTGGTAGTAACTTCAGTATTAAAAAAAAACACAACGTAATTTTTCACTATTTTCAGGTTCTGGAAAAAAGGAATTGGGAATTGAGGAAATGCATTTCACTTGGGTTTTCACAGATTCTTCTTTTCACAAAACATCAGTGTTGAAATAAATCGCTCTATTTTGAGATTTTCCATGTAATTTTTTAAAGTTGTACCTACGAACAGTAAAGTATATTTCAGTACGTCAAAACATGAAATCAAGATTGACCACTTTATATGTCCTGGGACTTCTACAGTAGTGTTTTTTCAATCCAGGAAGAGTTCTCAATTGTTACAAGAAATCCTAAACTGATTAGGTAAATCAACTACTTTGTCAAAAGTTTTAAGAGAAACTGTCCTGAAAAGTCCTGAAAGTTATGAGGTAATATTTCAAGGAACAAGGCTGAATATAAACAGAGATGAGAAATGTGGAAGTATGAATGCAATAATTTGGCCAAGTGAACAATGCAGGTTGATAGTGTGTTTCACTTCAACATCATTACCTGCAAGGAACTGGTGAACGCAAATTTCCACAGGTAACGCAGTTCAGAAACTGAGGTAGAGAGAATAATCTCTCAAAGTCCTGACTGAAATTACATCCAGTTTTTGAGAATTAATAAAATGAAATTCAAAATTGTACTTCACAAAGTCTATTGCACCGTCATCTAGAACAGGGTAGAGTGACAGTATAATGGGTATCTCCAGCAGGCTCCCTTACTGATATTTAATACATTGTTATCCACCAGGACGCTCAGTGCAGCCCAGGAGAAAGAGATGGTCCTCCTTTTCGCAAATAAAATGTTCTCCAGAAAAAAGCCTATCCTGATTGCAGATTTATAAAAATGCATTCACTGTATCTCAGAAAGGAAAAGTACAATTGGAAAACTGGGCTTTCTATTAAATACTTTCTTTTAATCATCTTTCCTGGCCAGGTAGTGTTAAAGATGAATTCTTTTATCACTCATAGATACACCAGAAGCCACAAAATGCAGAAATACACATCCAGAGTATGGTACCTTTACAAAACAATATTATGCTAGATTTAACAGCCCTTACATCTCCCTCTGTTCTAATACTGCAGTTATTTCTTTGATAAAGCGTGAAGATGCGGTTGTGGCGGGTGTCCGGGTCCAGGGCTGGCAACGGTGGGTGGCCAGGGCAGCGGGGCCTGTGCGGAGAGGCCAGGGCTGCCCTCTGCCAGACATGGGCAGCTCCAGCAGACCCACTGCAGGACATGGCTGAGCCCCACAGCCAGGCTGCTGGCGCCTCTGGGAAAGCATATTTAAGAATGGCCCAAAAAAACCCCCACCAAAACGCTGGACCGAGGGAGGAAAAGGGAACAGAGTGTATGATGTGTGTCATTACGCATCCCTGCAGCAAAGCTTATCATTCCAGAACTGAGAATCTAAATTTTGTTGCTTTCAGATTGTTTGTAGTATGCACTGCTGTCCCTTTTAGGAAGGGTGCCCTACTGTATGAACGTTACTACCAAAGTAAATGAAAGTAACACTACTATCACACAGCTTCTTACTGATCTGACATAGGCTATGTCTTGAAAAATACATCTTCCAGCAAATCCTTTTGCCTAGTTCTAATATTGAGATATGGAACATCCACTGTTTCCTGTGACACAATCCATTCATACTACCCAATGATCAATGACTCTCCAATTAAAAATACACTTATTGTTTACAATACCCATTTTCTAACCATCCAGTATCTTCCTTCTGCTGTTCAGTTAAAAGCCTTTTAATAGTTGATATTCCATACCTATGAAGGCAATTACATACTGAAGACACATGAATGGTCTGAATAATGGGAATGGATAGAAAATTCAGATGTCTTACTATATAACCAGGTGTCAAACTGAGCTTCCTTCAGGCTAACAAAAGCTTCTGCAAAAGTCTAAGACAGTCACATGTCATACTTGTCCCATCATTCTTCCATGTGACCCTGGATAAGCAAACTGTTGAAATGTAATGATGCTAGCCAGAAGTGCAAACTTGTTACTGTATTTCTTGTACACTCTCTTTTAACATCTTCTCCGATTAAACAGTCAAAATTATATAATTCTGCTTCTTTCCAATTACAAAGCACTTCTATCCTTTCAGCATCAACAAAAAAACCCCCACCTTCAGTAGTAAACACCACTGCTAGCATTCCACATTGACACGTATGTTGGGGTTGATGTAGCTTGAGAATTAGCACGACTAGGCTGCTTAAGCAAAACAGCATGATTTAACAGGCTTGCTAGAAAAGACAGCTAAGAATAGCCATTGATAGCAAAAACAAGATGTGTTCAAGGACGTGGAGGCGGTCTGTTGCTATTGGCGTTAGTGCATAGTTATCAATCATAAGGGAATGTAGAGCATGTGAACAGTGTGTGATTTATGTCTGTAGCCTATCCGATGTAAGCGTAATCGTGTGTACAGATATGGCAAATGTATATAACCGCAGAAGCGGGGGAATAAAAGTATCCGACTGTGCATCTTACCAATGCGTGTGAGGATCGTTCCCGTCCCTTCAAGGATGTTGAGACCTGGCACACGTATAACAATTTTTTCCAACCACAAGAAGGATTGCTTCCAGATCTCTGAGGAGTCACTGCATCAGTGCACTGTGTTGTGCACCGAATTCTTACTAAGGTGATTGTCTTTTCAGTCCAGTCCAATACGCATTCACTCTCTGGCTCTAGAACCATTCTTATTTGATATTGTAAAGGATGTCAGGGGGCATAGCAGCCAGTTTAAAGAGAACGCATGAGAAAGCAACCTTATTTGTGCCTCTTGATAGATGAAAACTGTAGATTGGTATAGTCCGAGTCTATGGAAGGTGTAGAATCTTGCAAGAACACTTGCCAAGTGAGTGTTCTTCTTGGACAAGACCTATCTTCAATAGCTACACTTACATTCCTCTGTGTCGTAGTATACAAGAAGTGCACCACTATCAAAATAATTCTTTTACCTTCCTTCCAATATTTACAAATGAAAGCAGACAGAGCAAATGCATTTTAAACTGAACAAATATGCCTGCATGTTAGGCACGCTTATCAGATCGACAATTTACATACAGGATGTCAAGTCTGTGAATTCCAAGCAGAGCATGGAATAGTTTGAGACCAATACAACAACAGGCTTGTTACAGGCCTGCAAAGCAGCAGAACTTTTCGTTTCTAAGGCATGTTTACTAGCATAAGCGTGGAAGCCTGTAACACTCAAGCATGCGAGAAAAAAAAAATGTTTGTAGACCACCTGTGTGGATTTAGGAGTCCTGAGACATATTCAGCACTTCCATGATCAGCACTTGCTGATTTTGTCTCAGATTGTTTAGCATCGTTGTTGTTTCTTATTTATTTGTTAATCTTTGAAACTTGTCTTCATGAGTCAGTAGCAGCTTTCTCTAATGTTTTTTTCTTTTCTGGAAGTTATCAACTATACCACGACATTTTCAAAATGAGCTTGTCATTCAGGTAATTTAGGAAATCTCATTTCTAATTTTCAGAGCCAGGAACACTTTTTATTAAGAGTATCTTCTCCTCTATATCTGAGATTAATTCTTCTGAGAGGCACGAATAACAGACAGCAGCTGACTATGCATCTAATAGGAAAGTTTGCTTTAAAACAGACCAAGAGATTATTCTGGTGCGCCTTAATAAAAGTAATCATGGTCTTTGTTCAGCTTGTTTGATTTAAAAATTACCTGCCATAAACAGCAGTGTGTTAGTTACTTTCGCAGATAACTTTTTGAATTAAAACATTCATGTCCTATTGGCCAGATAGCATGCCATTTTTTTATTAAGTAAATTCAAATTCTTCCAACTTAACATATCACCTTTTAAAAGCGGGGTTTATTGCAAACCCAAAAATACCTGTTCTAACTAAAACTGTGCACAATTCCACCTCAGTTACTTCCACGGAAGGTCTTGCTTGCAAGGTGAAAAAAGTGAAGATGGAAAAAGCCAGGAACTTCGCATCATTTTTC